TAGTATAACAGAGAATCGGATACGCGTTGTTGTTTGCACAAAAATAAATCATAACATAGAATAAGGATTCTGTGTATATAAATAAAGCTCGATTGTATAAAATATAAGAAAGAGTTATAAAATAGAAAATGTATAGTATCAGATATTTGTACAACTGTAAATTACTATACGTGAACCGTAAATCACACATGTTAGAACTCCTGGCATTTTCTTTGTAAATTTGTAGTTTCTAATGAAGCATTTTTTTGTGTAGTTTCTAACAAACCAATTTATATAATCTTACCTTTAAACTTTGTTATGAGAATGAAAAGTACAATTTTGTGTATTTGAATGTTAAATGGATAACAGTTGCATAAATAATCTGTACCAACTTAAATCTATAATCTGACCGTAAGCCCAATTAAAGAATGTTCGATTACTAAAAAATGCAGGTTCCAAATAATTAAGGGGAGTCCCTGTCTGATAATCAACATTGTCTGATTCCTATTAAACAAATCCTTTTGGGTAAACTTGCTTCTGCAGTCTTACCATTAAAATGTACTATCTCTTGATATATCGTTAATTCACCTTTGTGTGTTGAGCCAAAATAAAAAGGGACAACTGATATCACTCGATCGACCAAACACAATGATATTTTAGTTTAACTTCAACTTGTTTTCTACATGACTATCGATAATATTTGAGATGCTTCAACAAATCAAGATGCATGCATATTTGCATGGGGCACTAAATAGACCTACTCATCACTCATCAGAAACTCTATTTTTATTCACTTCCTATTGAATCGGTCATTTGAACAAGTCATGCTTTTATTTTGAATATTGCTTTGTAATTCCCACCTTCAATCNATCAGAAACTCTATTTTTATTCACTTCCTATTGAATCGGTCATTTGAACAAGTCATGCTTTTATTTTGAATATTGCTTTGTAATTCCCACCTTCAATCTATCCACATCTTACTCATTCCATTTTGATATTTAAAGACCTCAAAACATACATGTTCCCAAAACAAAATTGCTTCAACTTTCTCAAGGCCAATTAGTTATCTAAAAGAGCTACTAATTAATCAAAAGAAAATGAAGTACATTCAATTAATATGCATCGTCTTCGTCATACTCTTGTCATCATTCCCGGCTACAATAAAGAGTAAGAGTTTGGCAGATAGTTGCTTCGTAAGTCTTGATTACTGCATGAACCTTCTTCCTAGAGATAAAAAGTATTGGGGAGCCGACTGTTGTAACTTTCGCACAAAGAAAAGACAAGCAGTGACGAGACAATGTGTATGTATAATAAGGAATGATTTTAATAGATATTCTAGTCTCGTCAAACTTTTCAATGCTTGTGGATTAGGCCCTGTAGGTCACTTTTATACTTGTAAATGATGCGAGCGGAACATAGTCAACCAACCCAACCGCCATGGATCATCAAACCAAATTGGAGATATTTATTTATAGGCAATCATCGGTTATTTCCTAATATATTTTTGTCATGTTATTCAAGTTATTTTTAATAAGGAGAGAGAATTGGTATTCTTACATGTTCTTGAACCATCTCTGTCCTATTTTAATTACAAATTTACAATTCCATGTTCTTTGTTTCTGTATAGGGATAATTTGCACAATATTCATAGTAAACACGAAAATGAAGTGTATACACATTGCAATTTGATTTGACAATTTGCACCGACTTTAGACTCTTTTGTCCTTTCATGTGCATATGTGTCGGTTTGAGGCCAGTGAGCAGAAATATTGTAACACACATCTAACACTATTCAGACCTGGATGCACATATATCACGTACTGTAGCAGGAAGATAAAGTGAAAGCCAAAAACTATATTACAACTGAGTTCGTTTAGTACAAAAAGAGAGACCAAATAATGATTATATGGATGAAGAAAGAGGGGATTCAAAGACAGTGCATGGGAGAATAAAACAGAAATTGGATACTATAACCTTTATAGTACAGAAAAAATGTGGCATATTAATATATGGTTAGTTGGTAAAATCACACATATAGTGTAAAGAATTTATTAAGACACACAAGTAATTTTTGCAATAGAATGTTGTTGGTTGAAACAGACTATAAAAAAGGGAAGGTAATGAACAAGACGGTTGTATACAATCACAAGTGTCATTTTTGATGCAGAACATACTAAAAAACACCTCGAACACTCAAAAGAACAACAAACGATCTGAGATAGAGCTCCGCATCTCCGCCATCAGCTACTACCAAATTCCAGGTCTGAAGAGGAGAAAATAGATCTGGGACAAAATCCTAAGAGCCGACCTTGTACCTGCACCACCCCCAGAACAACAACCTCGCCTCACCTCCAGATGGAAGCTCGTCGCCGAAGCAAGGGACCTCTGCAGCGGTATAGTCAAACGGCAACTAACGAACCTCCAGAACTTCGACATATCAGATGGCCATAGACAGAGAGGTAGGAGCTATAGGGGAAAAAAGGAAGAAAAGCAACCGCCGGAGCAAAACCCTATCCTCGCCTGAAAGAGAGAAGTTTTGTTTTTCCAGTTGTACCAAAAATTGCATGCATTAGTTGTATGAGTTTATATTACAAAGTGAGACATCGGAACAATATGTCTTTACTATATGCATGTGCAGGGGTGAATCAGGAAAATGAGGAATTAATTATGGGATGACAGAGGCACAATGAGATTTGTGTTTCTTTAATAGCATTTATTTTATTCTTTTAACCCGCGCAAGTGGGCTAGTGGTAGGACGATGTCCAGCTGAGAGAGCTTCGGCCTCAATACTCTGGCTTCGAATCCCCACAGCTACAAACATTTGTGCGGGCCACGAGGGTATTTACATGGGTTGCTCTCGCTCTCCAGACCACTTCGCGTAACCAGGGGCCCTTAAGTGGAGGCTTAAAAATCCTGTAATGGCATGGGCTTATGCCCGGTGGGCTAGTCGATCACGCTTAGTGGTCGGATACTGGATTATCAAAAAAAAAAAGCTTTGTGTTATTTTATTTAGGAATAAGGATAAACTGTGGTATTAAATATTGAATATTAAAACTTGACTGGGTGTATGTATTTGCTCATGTAGTCAAGTATGAGTGTCTATGAGTTGTGAATAGAAAGAGAAGAATTGTTACCAAAAAAAATAAAAAGAGAAGAAAAAAAATATATCGTTGAATTTCTTTTTAAAACATATATATATAGTGGAAAATATTCGAAATTTTAAACGTATTCTTTTTACTGTTAATTTTTTAGTAACTAAAATGAAATGAAAATATCTGGATCATATAAGCTAACCTAACAATTTCCAAATGTTTGATTCATTGGGTTTAGACTCGAATACTTCAGTAGCATTGAAACGACCAATCTAACATGGACATCTTTCTTTCTTTTTTTGCTAAAAATATTATAATTTTGCTAAAAATTCAATGAACCGGTTCTTAATTTTTTTAGTTAAAAAATTAAGAGATGAGTTGTTATATTCCGTTAAAAACTCCGCAGTAAGAACTTCTCATTGGAAATGGTCTAACATGCTAGATTCGGTCATGTTCATTGTGTATCAGTTGTAGATCAAAACAATATTGATGACAATTTATAAATTTTAAACTTTTCTCTTTATTTTTAAAATTTCTAGTAACCAAAATGTAATAATAATCTTGATTATCTAAGCTAATTTAACAGTTTTGAAATGCTTGACACATTGGATTTAGACTCGAATACTCCAGTAACATTGAAACGACACCATATACCTCACATGAATTTTTTTTCCTAAGAAAATACTATAATTATGCTTAACATTCTATAACTCAAATATGTCATACAAGCAATGGTATATGACTTGTGGTTTGTTTTTGTATTCGGTTTACAGCTAATTACACCCTGGAAAATATGAACTAATTCCCTTATTAGGATTCAGAAGAATAGAGTGCAATGCAACAAAATAAGACATATTTTAAAAATAACAAGAAGGATTAATTACATACATACATATGTATATATTCTAAGCATAGACCACTGGAAATAAATAATTTGTTAATAGGAAATATTTTTTCTGTTGAAAGGAGCATAATAAGCTTTTTTTTTTCTTTTTTTGAAACAGGAGCATAATAACTTCTATTCTATTAAAATAGAGACATTCTTTTTATTTACTGATACAAGTTGTCATTTAAATTTAGACTTTTTCTAGAGTGTTACAAATAATATAAGTCTTATAATTGATTGAACCGCATTACTTAAATTAAACCAACACAATTAATGTAACATGGCGACCTTAATGTAAAGTATCTTCAAAATACGGCAGATATCTATGTGTCTACCAAAAACACATATTTTCTCCTACAAATATGGAATGTTCTAAAAACTAAAACCCAAAACCAAAAGCTGAAAACGCATTGTCTGGATAACATATTGTTATAGTTTTTGCTTTTGTTTATTTACAAAATAAACTATTGCAATTTTTTTTTAAAAAAAAATTCTCATCTTTTCAGTTTTAAATTATATGTTCGATTATTTGAAATTTGTTTGTTGGTAACTCAGCAGATCTAAAAATTGAAAACTCAAACAAAAGCTGAAAATCAAAAATAGAAACTTAAAAACTAAAAACCAAAATCTAAAAATAAAAACTGAAACTAAAAACTAATGAAAAAAATCGTCACCACAAATTTTGATAAACTGATTTTATACCAAAACATTCTTTAAATTAAGACATAACCCAATTATATAAATTTTAGTTATAAAAAATTTCTGCGCTTTCAATCGCGGGTCAAAATCTAGTATTACATTAAAGAAGAGTGTATCTTGTAAAAAGAAGAATTGTGACTTACCATCTATAACCCTAGAGAAGAAGACCAACCCTCTCTCTTGTATCCTTTATAGATATATTTCTTTCTTTGTCTTGATTTTTTTTTTTTTGTAAACAAGAATATTTTTTTGTCTTGATTTTCATCCTTTTAAATCATATCACCTCAGACTAATTTAACTTATCCCTCTTTCTTCACCAATTGTTCAGTTTTATTTAGGTGAAAATGGAGATAGCAACCATCGAAATGCCTAGCGGAAGCAACAGTAAGAAAACCAAATGTCAGAGAAATCATTGGAAACGTTACGAAGACGACAAGCTTAAGCAACTCGTGGAACAATATGGTCCCCACTGGAACATCATTGCTGAACATTTATCTGGAAGAACAGGTATATACATTATTTGTATATTGATCTTTCTCATATATTATACACACATAAATTAAAGAATCGATTTGTATTAGATCAATGTGTATTATAGATAATTTGAATGATATGGATTCATAGGGAATAGCTGTAGGCAGAGATGGTACTATGAACTTGCTCCAAACATCAACAAGGGACCTTTCACCAAGGAGGAAGAAGAGAGGCTTTTCGAAGCTCATCGGATCCATGGCAATTGTTGGGCCATCATAGCCAAGCTGTTGCCCGGGAGGACTAATAACGCTATCAAAAACCATTACCAAACCGCCATGTCGAGACGCAGACGTAAAGGCTTCTCTTCCCCCCACTTCTCCGGTAATTCAGAGCCCTAGCCGCGGTGATCCCTGGCCTTACACTTCTGCTTCAGCACCTAGGAGTGATCAGTTAGGATCCTCATGGATATCTAATGCACAACAAGAAACTGATCTTGAGAGGAGAAAGAGGAACGAGATGGTGGATCATCAGGCAGCTACACCAGATTATGAGAAGGACTCATCAGGAGAAGATGGAACATCCATGATGGATCATGGTGAAAAAGAGAGATGTTCCTTTCTATGATTTTCTTGGAGTTGGATTATTAGATTCTTAGATATAATATCACAACTCAGTGATTCTGAGGGTATCGATCATTAGGGTTATGTATTATATTCAGCATTTTTGCTTCCTGAAAACCTTATATTTCTCTTCTATCAGTCTCGTTTTCTATCCCATTCATATATATATATATTATTTTGGTGTATGCATATATATATATATGTATGTGTATCACATGCACTTGAATTGGTACATACATCTGTGTCCGTGTCTTTATCGTTATTAGTTTAACACATGGTCTGATGTTTCGTACAGACACATGTAAATGAATAATTTAAACTCTGTTGGGGAATTTAATGTCGATAGACAACTATTGATTAAACAAGTGATGAAGCAAAACAAAAGAGGTAAATAACAACCCATAATAACAATTACACAGTTACATTCTCTCTATATCGACAGACATAAAATAACAGTGTAAGCTTACTTGTTTCAACCTATACAATGAGTTAAAATATGTATCACACATGTATCTTAATTTGAGTCATTTTTTTCATCGATCAAATATGTGAAACAAAAATATGTGAAAAAGAAACACAAAAACTCTAATTGATATATCTATTATATTAAAAGAGAAGTCATGACTCACTTCATGTGTGATTTTTTAGTTTGGATCATTCTTAGAAATTTTATAAAATTTTATATAACATCATTATAATATCTTTTCATATCTTTAGTTTTTATTTGAAATATAAATAAATAGTTTTAAAAAAATTCTAACAAAATCTTTTAGAATCTTTTCAAGATATAGTTTTAAAAAATATTTGATTAAAATTTTAATTATCATAAAATATAGTTAAAATTCTAATTCAATTTTGTTTACAAAACAAACAATCAAAGTTATGTAAAATACTTTTAACAATATCCCAAAATTATGTTTATGTATTATGTAGGTCAAACTTAATTTACTTTTATATATATTGCAAAATTAGAAATAAAAAATATATAATTAGTAATGTTACATAATAATGGTTTTAAAAATTGTTATAAAATAAAAATTCATAAATTTTATATTAATAATATTATAATCCACATAAATACTATATATATTTATTGATAAATTTTACTCCCTCCGTTTTTTTAATATATGATGTTTTGGATCATTGCACAAAGATTAAAAAAAATTACATTCTTTTACAACAGTATTTTTACAGATATAATTTTAAAATCATTCAACCAATTATTAAAAAACAAGTAAATNAACAAGTAAATTATTGGTTAAACATTTTTCAATAAAGTTAAAAGTAACCTTAAAACCTTAAACTATATCTTAAAATTTCAAAACATCTTATATTTTGAAACAAAATAAATCTTTTAAAACATCATCTAATTTGAAAGGGAATGAGTATTATATATTTTCAAATATTGTCGTATTAAAATACCCGCACGGTTGTGCGGGTTGAGATCTAGTATAGTATTATTTGAGAAGTGATTTTGTTATCTGTCATTTTCTCCATAATTTTGAGATAAATTATCAGTTTAATTGATATTTAAATTTTAGTTTAATATATATATATATATATAAACATATATTTATTAGCTTATATATTGTTTTATACAGTTTTGGTTCTAGAAGTTTATATAAATATTTGTATATTTACATTTTCATTCGAATAGAAGCTATATAAAATATTTGTAACCAAAATTTCTTTTTTAAACAACGTAGCATATAGTGGTATTACTTCAGTATCTACATTATCAGTATTTTACATGTAAGTTCTTAATACAAACTAGATCTCAACCCGCGCAACCGCGCGGGTATTTGTTTTCATTTATTTTTATATAAACATTTTTTTTTACTTCTAAATTGGTATATATTATATAAGGTGTATATATCGAAAATGATATATTATATAAGGTGTGTATATCAAAAATGATGATTAATTATTATATAGTATAGATTAATTATTGTTAGAAAATGATATTTTGTCATTTTTAAAATAAACTATATAATTTTTAAAGTTAACATCGAAAATATATAACTAATTAACTTATACTATTATAATATTAAATTATATAAGTTTAATTTAAACATGTATTTTATTATACTATCTATAAATTCAATGGATCATCTAATTTTTATTAGCCCATTAAAAATTTATAGTAAGCCCAATAAATGTTATTAGTGAATCTAATAAATGTTATTAATGATTAAATATATAATGTGACCAACTCTAGTAGATAGTCCATTTTATAAAAAATNTATCTATAAATTCAATGGATCATCTAATTTTTATTAGCCCATTAAAAATTTATAGTAAGCCCAATAAATGTTATTAGTGAATCTAATAAATGTTATTAATGATTAAATATATAATGTGACCAACTCTAGTAGATAGTCCATTTTATAAAAAATCACACATGAATGAGAAGTCATGACTTCTCTTTTAATATAATAGATTTTTGCTAATCAGATGGATAAATATAATGTAGAAGTCAAACAAATGGACTATGTCTGAAGATATTATTAAAAAAAAGTAAGAGATAAAAAACATACAGATTTTTTTTGTTTTGGTAAAATGTTAAGAACCGAGGAAAGCAAGGAGGTTGAAGAAGCCACCACATGCCATAGCCATAGACGACTAAGCGGATTCGAAGCTTTACAAACTCCACGCGCGGTCATCAGACAACAAACACCACCACACAGTAGATACATGATATTTGCACGCGCCACGAAGCAAAGGGAACTCCAGTCTCCAGTGTTACCTTAAGCGAAGACGAAGATAGCCCCCAAACCGAGACGCCTCGAGACAAGGAACTACACCAACATCCACCGCCAGTCGCTCAGACCTGATTCCAAAAACACCTCGAACACTCAAAAGAGCGGGGACATATCCACACACAACCTGTACCTGTACCAAATGTCTCATTTAAGAATCGGTTCTTAGTTTTTTTAGTTAAAAATTAAGAGACGAGTTCTTATATGCGGCTAAGAACCCTGCCGTAAGAACCCCTCATTGGAAATGGTCTAACATGATAGATTCGGTCATGTTCATTGTATATGAATTGTAGATAAAAAATATAATAATAATATTGATGACAATTTATAAATTCTAAACTTTTCTCTGTACTTTTTAAATTTCTAGTAACCAACAAAATGTAATAAGAATCTTGATTATCTAAGCTAATTTAACAATTTCGAAATGCTTGACACATTGGATTTAAACTCGAATACTCCAGTAACATTGAAACGACACCATAAATCTCACATGAACTTTTTTTTGCTAAAAAATAACTATAATTATGCTTAACATTCTATAACTCAAATATGTCATACAACCAATGGTATATGACTTGTAGTTTTTTTTTGTATTCGATTTACAGTTAATTGCACCTTGGACAATATGAACTAATTCCCTTATTAGGATTCAGAAGAATAGAGTGCAATGCAGCAAAATAAGACATATTTTAAAAATAACAAGAAGGATTAGTTACATACATACATATGTATATATTCTAAGCATAGACCAATGGAAATAAATAATTTGTTAATAGGAAATATTTTTTTTCTGTTGAAATGAGCATAATAAGCTTATTACATTAAAGAAGAGTGTATCTTGTAAAAAGAAGAACTGTGACTTACCATCTATAACCCTAGAGAAGAAGACCAACCCTCTCTCTTTTATCTTATTAGATATATTTCTTTCTTTGTCTTGATTTTCATCCTTTTAAATCATATCACCTCAGACTAATCTATCTTATCCCTCTTTCTTCACCAACTGTTCAGTTTTATGTAGGTGGAAATGGAGATAGCAACCATCGAAATGCCTAGCGGAAGCAACAGTCTTGACGACAAGAAAACAAAATGTCAGAGAAATCATTGGAAACGTTTCGAAGACGACAAGCTTAAACAACTCGTGGAAGAATATGGTCCCCACTGGACCATCATTGCTCAACATTTATCTGGAAGAACAGGTATATATTTGTATATTGATCTTTCTCATATATTATACACATATAAATTAAAGAATCGATTTTGTATTAGATCAATGTGTATTATAGATAATTTGAATGATATGGATTCATAGGGAATAGCTGTAGGCAGAGATGGTACTATGAACTTGCTCCAAACATCAACAAGGGACCTTTCACCAAGGAGGAAGAAGAGAGGCTTTTCGAAGCTCATCGGATCCATGGCAATTGTTGGGCCATCATAGCCAAGCTGTTGCCCGGGAGGACTAATAACGCTATCAAAAACCACTACCAAACCGCCATGTCGAGACGCAGACGTAAAGGCTTCTCTTCAACGCCCACTTCTCCGGTCAACCAAATTCAGAGCCCTAGCCGCGGTGATCCCTGGCCTTACACTTCTGCTTCAGCACCTAGGAGTGATCAGTTAGGATCCTCATGGATATCTAATGCACAACAAGAAACTGATCTTGAGAGGAGAAAGAGGAACGAGATGGTGGATCATCAGGCAGCTACACCAGATTATGAGAAGGACTCATCAGGAGAAGATGGAACATTGAATCATGGTGAAAAGAGAGATGTTCCTTTCTATGATTTTCTTGGCGTTGGATTAGATTCTTAGATATAATATCACAACTCAGTGATTCTAAGGGTATCGATCGTTAGGGTTATGTATTATTCAGCATTTGCTTCGTGAAAATCTTATATTGATCTATCAGTCTCTCGTTTTCTATCAATTCATATATATATATATATATATATATATATATATATATATATATATATATATTATTTTGGTGTATGCATATATCTCTATAATATTATTTGAGAAGTCAGTTTCCTACGTGTCGCACTCACGTTAACTCTCGTGATGGTTGATTACATAGATACCCTTAATGAATTGTTAGATTTTAAGATTATTATTTTTTTTTTATTTAATTTTCTTTTTATCCTTTTTCCAAATAACATATAAAATAAAAAGGAAATATTTCTAAAATTTTTTTAAAAATATAAAAACGAAAATGTATGCATATAATATGACTTTATTAAAAATGAAAGTTCACAAAATAGTAATACCCACATTAATATATATTTTTAAATAACATAAAATATATTTTCAAAATAATAAAAATATATCTGTTCATGAGCATTCAAAAATTTATCAGTTACACTTTATTTTCTAATATTTTTTAGAAATCAACATATAATTTGATAAATATTATGAAAATACATGTATATTTAAGCGATATATANGAAAGTTCACAAAATAGTAATACCCACATTAATATATATTTTTAAATAACATAAAATATATTTTCAAAATAATAAAAATATATCTGTTCATGAGCATTCAAAAATTTATCAGTTACACTTTATTTTCTAATATTTTTTAGAAATCAACATATAATTTGATAAATATTATGAAAATACATGTATATTTAAGCGATATATAAAACTAATTTGACTTAACTAAAATAAAGAGTAAATAAACATTATGAAAATGCATGTATATTTAAGCGATAAATAAAACTAATTTGATTTGACTTAACTAAAATAAATAGTAATTATACTTCAGTTTTAATTTAAAATATATTTAACTCAATATACTCACAAAAAGAACAACTCGACTAATCTAATTTATATCCAAAATTAAACATCTAACTACAGTAAGAACATATAATTTTATAATAATAATAATAATATAATAATAATAATAATAACAATAATAATAATAATAATCTATTTAATTTTATACATATAAATTAGAGGTTGACTCAAAGCATATTAAAAAGAAAAATAAAATATTAACCAATTACAATTTAATTCTTTTGTAGAATTTATATATATGCATGAGACTTCAAAATATTATCATTATATTCATTTATGTAATTTTGAATCAAACATTTCAACTTATTATTTATTTCATTTTAAGCACAATATATATTAAGTTATACATAATTTAACTATAATATATTTACATATCTACGAATATATTTACATATCTAATACAACACCAACGGAAATGAAAATAAGAAATTAATCAAAGTTTTATTATATTTAGAATTAAAATATTATAGATGAATTCGAAAAAAAGATATTATCCAATATACCAAATTGATAATCATACCGACTATTGATCCCAAAAAATAATTAAACAAACAATAATATATCCAAAGTCATATGTATAGAATAATATAATATTTATTAATATAAATTAGACATACAAATTTATTCAAAACTAAAACTAAATATCAATCAATTATTATAAAGTTTAACTTTTATGAATATTCATACTCGTGCATGATCACGGGAAATCACCTAGTATATATATATATATGTGTGTGTATCACATGCACTTGAATTGGTACATACATCTGTGTCCGTGTCTTTATCGTTATTAGTTTAACACATGGTCTGATGTTTCGTACAGATACATGTATCAAATCTGTATTTATTGGGCGTCCTGATTGATAGACACGGAGATCCAAGTCTACTAAGTGTAGATGATAGATAATCATTGTGTAATCATAACCAAATTTGGTGTTGTTGTCATATTATCGTTTTTATTTGTGAAAACTCAAATTAAGGTTTTTTATTATTTTTTCCAAGGGTTTGATCAATATGAAGAGAGAAGTCAATTCAAATGAATAATTTAAACTCTGCTGGGGAATTTAATGTCGATAGACAACAAGTGATGAAGCAAAACAAAAGAGGTAAATAACAACTCATAATAACAATTACACAGTTACTTTCTCTCTATATCGACGACGAACATAAAATAACATTTTTAAAAATTAATCACAGTTTGTGATGTAAGCTTACATGTTTCAACCTATACAATGAGTTAAAAAATATCACACATCTATTATATTCAAAGAGAAATCACAACTTCTCTTCATATGTGGTATTTTTTTTTAAAATGGCCCATTCCTAAAAAATAATATTTCATTTATATCTTAATAACATTTCACATAATTTAATTAAAATGTCTTTTGATATCTTTTCTTTTATTTTAAAATAAATAAATATTTTTAAAGAGAATTCTAACAAAATCTCTTAGATTCTTTTTTTTTTAAAATATACTAGATTTTAAAAATAAATAGATATCAATTCATTGTAAAGGACACAAGTGAACTTTATTCACAAGTAAAGTTGAGTTAAATAAATGTTTTTATTAGCTTTGTTTTTCACTTAACGTTAGAATACGTCAATTGTTTTTATTAGTTTGTGTTAAAATTAATGACATAAATGGTAATGTTATATGATAGACATATTTAAAGCTATGGCTTATAAATTTAATTACAATGTCTTTTGATATCTTTTCTTTTATTTGAAAAAGAATAAATATTTTAAAGAGAATTCTAACAAAATCTCTTAGAATCTTTTTTTTTTAAATATACTAGATTTCAAAAATAAATAAATATCAATTCATTGTAAAGGACACAAGTGAACTTTATTCACAAGTAAAGTTGAGTTAAATAAGAATAGGAAAATGTTTTTATTATCTTTGTGTTTCACTTAACGTTAGAATACGTCAACTGTTTTAATTAGTTTGTGTTAAAATTAATGACATAAATTGTAATGTTATATGATAGACATATTTAAAGCTATGACTTATAAGTGGTATAAATTAAAAAAAATCACACATAAAGTAAGTCATGAAATCAATATTCTTTATGTACAATGTAAAATTCATTTTTGAAAATTAATCAATTTAAACTGCTATTATCATTAAATATAATTAAAATATTTTTATAATTGCCTTTTCTTTATAATCAAAACAAAATTAAAATTTAATTACTAATTACGTTCAATGATAATTAATTTTGAAATTAACTAATCTGGAAATAAAATTTAAAAAGATTCTAAAAATATTTTGAAATATTTTGTAAAAGTATTATTTAAATATTTTTTTGTATTTCAAATAAAAATAAAGATATTATAACTAAACTGTATAAAATATTATAAATTTTATAAAGATGGTTCAAATTAAAAATCACACATAAAAAAGTGGTGAATATATTTCTATTATATTTTTACATAATATTTTATGTGTGGCAGAGAAAGTGGTGAATTATAGACAAAATTGGGTGGACCTTATTTATTACTATTATTGACATATTAATAGTATTGTATTTACATCTTCTCTTCTTCTTTAATAAAATTTAAATTATCATAGCATAATTAAAAATTAATTTTGAACTATCTACAACAAATTCATCACAATATATTATCTAAAATTAATAAGCATAAATAAATGAACATATGGTTGGCAAAAAACAATACATAAACATTTAAACATATGAATATTATTATAAATATATACCAATAATGATGTAAACAAATATATATATATATATATATATATATATATATAAATTAAATACCCGCTCGGTTGAGCGGGTCAAAATATAGTATATGTTAATTTTAGTCCATTTATTTTATTGATCAAATATGTGAAACAAAAATATGTGAAAGAGAAACACAAAAACTCTAATTGATATCTATACTATTACTTGAGAAGTGTTTTTTTATTTTTCATTTTCTCCATGATTTTGAGATAAATTATCAGTTTAATTAATATTACTATTTAAATTTTAGTTTAGTCTTAATATATATATATATATATAAATTTATTTATTAGCTTATATATTGTTTTATACAGTTTTGGTTATAGCAGTTTATATAAATCCATATTTGTACTGTTACATTTCATTCGAATAGAAGCTATATAAAATATTTGTAAACAAACTTTCTTTTCCAAACAACGTAGCACATAGTGGTATTACTTCAGTATCTACATTATCAATATTTTACATTTAAGTTCTTAATACAAATTTGTGCTAATCAGATGGATAAATATAATGTAGAAGTCAAACAAATGGACTATGTCTGAAGATATTATTAAAATAAAAGTAAAAGATTAAAAACATACAGATTTTTTTTGTTTTGGTAAAATGTCAAGATTATTATTACCAAGTTTTCATTTTTTACAGAAGAACACAGACACAAAGTAGCAGAGAGCAAGAATTGAAACTAAAAAGAGCATTTTAAGGAAAGAAAAAACTTTAAGCAAAAGAAGATGATGTCAGGAAAGGGACCGATGTAAACGTTGCAGTGACGGACCTTATGAAAGAGTACGAGACGAACAAGCTTCCCATTGCCATGAGCTACCAGAGGGAAAGGCGTCCTCAAACCTTGAAGCACCAGCTCCTACAGCTTCTAGAAACCCACTCATCAATACATTCCCAAAGAATCACGTCGCGATCTTTGGAGACCACCAGAGAGCCCAAAGAAGAGCAGAGGAACTTGAGATCCACAGATTCACAAGCGCCAAGACCACTCAGAAACCAGTCACCACGAAGCCAACAGCCACGCTCCACCAGCGACAGTACCGAACAAGCTTATCCCACGACTCACCCGCCACCATCTCGGAGAGATTTGGTCAGAGAGAGAGGAAAAACGTCGCCGAGCAGAGATCCCTTCACAAACCGGATACACCACGATAGAAGGGGAGACCGTCCTCAAGTCTCGCCGCAAACCACCATAGACCACCAGATCTGAGCCAGGAACCGCCGGATCTGAACTGGACACAACTCTGACCAAAATCCAACCCCAGCCGAAAGAGAGAAAGACCACGAAGGTGAACAGAGAAACGGAGCGGGAATAGAAACACAAAGAGAAACTACCGGCGACCACCTCAAGAGGACTTCGGCAGCCGGGAGAGCACGGAAAAAAATAGGGTTTCTAGGGTTAGAGAGAGGCTGGAGAGTAAAATGAAGAGAGAGAACTCTCGAACTGTGAAGGGTTTAACTTTTTATAATGACTGGCCCCACCCCGAAAGGCACCCATACAAAAATCTTCAAGGCGTGTTCGAGAAACCTCTAGGCCTTAGGCCCATGCCATTTGCGAGCACATGATTTTTGAAAGACACAGTACCACCCTGCTGTTCCCGAGTATCGAACATGTGACATCGAGTAGTCATGTGTGAGAAAGTGAGTTGAAACCACTAGGCCATCAGCTACTTCTCAAAACATACAGATTTCTCGTATACATTACTAACATTCTACATATATAGGTCAAAAACGCTTTCTGTTTAGAAAAAAAATAGACTTTATTTTAGTAATTTGTTAGACATAATGATCTTTGGTTGAGCTAATTAAGGGTGTGTGTACAATTTGTATTTCCCCAAACGATTGCTTGGTTTGGTTTGTATATAACATTTGGTTTTGTTTGGTTAATAACTAAAGTATATACTATAACTATATACAAAACCTCAAAACTGAATGTACTATATATATACACTTTTTTTTATAACAACCTATATATACACACCTATAATTCGGTTTGGCTTGGATTTCATGTGATTTTGTGTGATTTTAATTAAATGTTTGAACATAAACATCACTAGATTTCGACTCGCACAACTATGCGGAAATATATATATAAATATATAAATATTTTTTTTACGGGTTAAAATATTTGTTTTAAATGTTTGTATAAATATTTGAAATACAATGATTTTATAGTTTTTATGCTGTAAATTCAAATCATCACATATATATGTTTCTTCTTATTATATATTTTCGTATTGAATTTGTGTTTGATTATTAAACCAATTATATGAAACAACATATGTCAAAATTATTTTTTTATTATTTATTATGATCGTAATCCGTAATTCAAAACGCTAGATTGGCAATTTTTATATTTATTCATTTTATATAATAATTTATTGTATATAAAAAATTAGCTAAATTGAATTTTATACATGAATTATATAGTTTACGAATGTTACCGTTCTACGAACATATATATTTTTAGAATAAATATTTTATATTTATTAACATAAATATATTAACTTATCAATTTCAAAAAGCTTTATCAAATTAGTTCAATATAATGGTTTTCTTTTAAAATGATAGATATTATTAGAAAATAGAAAAAAAATATGGTATAATTTTATTCTTTTCATTTTATAAAATATAGCTGAATATATACACATATAAATATATAATAACATTTCATGCTTAAATTATGAAATTAGTGAAAATATTTATGTTCAATTTTTGACAATTAAGATCTTGTTATAATCTTTTTCAATAGATTTTCTGGAATTAAAAACAGTATCAAAAATTATTATGATTAAAATAGGTAACAATATTTTATATTATTAGTATTAAGGATAAAAATTTAATAAAAATAATAAATGATGGTCTAAATAAAAATATCATACATAAAAGAAATCATGAATTATAGTTTAATAGAATATATATATATATATATATATATTTATTTATTTATTTATTTACTTATTTAAAACCATGAAAATAAAATAAATATTTATTTGTAACAAATCTTTTAAAATTATTAGTAAAACTTATTTTGAAATTAATGAATTTCATTTTTATTATGAGCGAATATGATTGAACATATTTAATTTTTAATATTCGTTTTAAAACCAATACTAAATTCAATTTAATTTCTAATTATATTCTATGATAATTTAAAGTAAAATTAACTAATTTCGAAAGTAAATTTAAAAAGATTCTAAAGAAATTTTTAAAATATTTTGTTAGAACATTTTAAGTATATTCATTTGTATTTCAAATAAAAGGATGGACCTCTAAATATATATAAAATATTAAAAAATATAATAATGAATTTATTTTAAATTTGATATTTTCTAAGAATATGTCTAAATTCTAAAAAATTACACACGAAGTGGACTAATGACTTCTTTTTTAATATATAAGATTTTATGCGGGTGGTTTTACACCCTTTGTTTATTAATACAGATGTAAACAAATGATTAATGAGCTTATCCACAGCAGAAGACCAAAACTGAGAAATAAATGATTATTGGGCATGTTTATCGATTAAGGTTGGCTTAGGAATAAATAAATGAACTATGGATATGTATATCAAATGGGTTTGTTATTTTCAGATGTTAATAACAAAAAGGAAACTAATGATCGATGGAAAGATTATTTTCTGATGTTAATTAAATAGATACTTAGGATATGACTGGTTTTCTCGTTCTCACCCGCAAATGCAACTTTTGTGGTTGGTATTGGTTCTTGGCGTTTTGTAACAATTAGTCAAATCGCCCTGGACCGTTTCAAACCGCTCTAAACCTCTTAAATTCAAAGCTGATTCCAACTAGCGTTTGAGATTGCAGGCGGTATAAAAGGGTGAATTTTTATTTAAAAAAAAATACGAAAATAAAAATATTCAATAATTTTTTTAAATTGGAATAATAAAAATATTAAAATATATCTATTATATTTTAATTAATATTATTATAATGATTTAAATAATTTTTAAATAATTTTTAAGTTTTAAAACTATAACTTTATAAGAATAATTTTATATTTATTATAATATTATGATTTTTGGTATTTCTTATAATAATACAAAATAGAAATATTGTTAGTTTATATTTTAACCGCTATTGTATTTGGTAGTTAACCATTCATAAATATCCCGCATACGCACCAATTTCTAAATGCAGTACCAGTCATATAAATTTCTAAAACCCACAAGAAACCGCAACCACAACCGCTGCGTTTGAACCAGTCACCCTTATTAGGAAGGTAGTGACATGAGTTGTAAATATTAAGATAATTTAAGGATTAATTCTAATTTGTACTTCTGTTTTAATATATTAGATAGTGAATATTATACAAACGACAAAATGAAAATTTACGAAAAAATAATAATAATATATGGTTGCATGGTAAACTAAGATTAAAACATTAAATAACACTAAAATTTGACAAATAATAAACATAATATAAATATAATAGACGAGAATATATAGATAATATTTTGTAATTTACTATTATGAGTTTTTTTCTCAAAGTTTTTAATATATAAGTTATAGAGAATATATGATTTTGATGTTTTATTGGTGGTGATTGTTTATACTCCTTTCGGTGCCACAGAATTTTCTTACAGTCCACATATACTATAAGTCTTTTATTTCAAATCCAAGTTTCCTTATTTAATTATTACCTACAGAAAATATTTTTAGCCAAAACCTACATCTCATAAATATTTTAAACAAAATACCATAATTTAATAGATAAATTAACGATATGAAATTGAAGTTTTATAATTTACAATATTAATTTTAAAATTGTATCAAATTTAATATTTTAAAAAATGAAATTAAATTTTTTTAAGTATATTTATATTAGTCTGCACAAGGTGCGGATCATCAACTAGTATACTATTATTTTCAAAGTGAATATTTTTTTGCTAAACTCTAATGTTAAATGATAGAGAGATAAATTTTTTAATACCTTAATGAAGATATTAGATTTATTTATTAGAAAAACATTTCTTATAAGAAATTACAAATTAAGATAATAAAATTAACCAAAGTAAAACCGTTTTTAAATTTATTAGATTTAATAATTCATTAAATCTAATATAACAAATTTTGACCAAAAATATAAAAATATATTTTTAGAAAATAAAAAGATAATTTTCTATATACTGTGTCGCTATCCAAAAAATATCTTTCATTTATAAAAACAATAAAAACTAAGTAAATAGATATAATTAATTATTAATCAATAAAAATTAAATTTGATATAATAGAAAATAAGAATTAAGGGATTTAATTTGTTTATTTATTATTAATGAAAATAGTATATCAAGAGATTTTTAAAAATATTTATAATTTGATGTATGAAATATTTTTTCATGATGATTTTTAATTAGCAATGCATATGATATAACAATAAATACTTCTAAAATAATTATACCAGCACTGCACGTAGTATCCCCTGAATCATTAACAATATCCTGACACTAGACCACATCAATAAAAATATGTAATCTATAAATTAAACAATATACGAAATTGTTTTACATGTTATCCAAACCATTAACAATTAATGAAAACGCTTATATATGGTATTAATGAATTTCACTATGTTTCAGATTTTAAATAATAAATTTAAATATAAATATCTAATTTATATGTTTATGATATTATCAATAGATCTTTCATTAATGCCCAAAAAAATCAATAGATTCATTTATGAAGAATTATGCTTCTTTAGTAAATGAAAAGATGATGTAGACTAAACCCAATAAATACTGAAACAAAAATCTTAGATAACAAAGTTAACTTTTTTTTTCTCTATAAGGGAGAAAAAATGTCACCTATCTTCTCTTTTATTTTGGGCCAGTTTTATGGGTCTAGTAGAGGGCTTCTTTCTTCTTTCTACAATTTAATCATCACTTATGGTATTCTGATTCCTTTACTTTGGTCTTTTTGGACTGTTTTATATTTGAGCTTTGATGATGTATGTCCTAGAGTTACAGGATGAGAAAATCATCCATCGTCTTCGCCGTCAACCTCCTGGAAACCCTAATCTCACCTTCTTTGTCATACACCATATCTGAGTAACGGCTTCACCCACTTTAAGTTGAAGCCATTAGCCCTTACATTTAAACTCAGTTAAGTCACCCCCGCTACTTCTCATTACTTCATAACCTTCAGACTCTTCATATTCTTTGTGATTTTGAACCTATTAATAGGAGTTCCCGGCTTGATGGTTCTCCACTGATTCTTTGCGCTCAAAATTCATATACACTCCTGCAAGAACGATGGCCTTCCCAGATCTCTATTTCTTAGTTTAAGTCAGGGTGTTGCACCTGAACCGTTGTTACACACCTACTCCGATTTTGGGAAGCTAAGAATGTTAAGAAGGCAGGTGAAATTATGGGAGTCGATATGCTTCTCTTGGATGATCAGGT